TAATACATAGTATATATATATATACCTATAATATATTTGGAATCAAACACTCATGTACTATTAGTATAAGGTGCCAAATAAAATTGTATTGTATTGTATTATATTGTATTGTATATAGCACTACGGTACGATTTGCTCTTTTTTATCCCTTTTGTGGCTTAGAAAGGGGGTCACGGGCACCCTAGGACGCCCCTGTTAAACATAATACGATAACCAATAAAGCGGAAAGTTTTTTAACAAATTCACGTCTGAAGATATTAGAGCCCCCCGGGAAATGAAAACGTCTGCATTACAACAGCGAAGAAAGGAACACGGACACAAGATAAGTAAACAAGTATAACGTTAATTTAATCGAAAGGAAAAAAAAAATTTTTTTAATCCAACCACATTCGGTGTCCTTGTGCCCTTGAGCTGGTGAGTAAAAATATCCTTTAAATTCTGAACAATGTCCCAGCAAAATAATTTTCACCCTTTAATGAGTATATATTATACTTTAGTAGGAAAATGTTTGGTCTTTTGAAACTTTCATACTATGAATTCCAATGGCTATAACTCCCGCTACAAACATAAATTAAACATGATTTTTCACACACTTACTACACATAAACCAAAGCTTACACTGATGTTAGTTTGGTTGAAATCGGAGTTTTCGTAGCATCGAAATTATAATGTCCTTGCATTCAAATTCCACCAATTATCCTTTGCGGGAGTACTTTTGTCTTTTAACTCTCTTGGGAATGCTTGCAGCATTAACTGGACGTTTTAGACCAAATGTTTGCTTATAATATTGGGAAGAAATTCTTTGGGGCTGTTTTTGACTAAAACGTAATAATTATTTTACTCCGAATAAATAAAACGGAACAAGGCGTCTAATTAATATTATAACGCATAACCGACGCTAATAACTAAGGCTCAGCAAAGAGAGCTCGAAACTGGAGTATTTCATGTACCCGTGCACTCTGATTCACGTAATAAGTCGGCTGATTTTATTGTAATAACCCTTGAAAAAAAGTTTTGCGAATAATGTAGCGAAGTTTTATTTCCTAATAATATAATTATGACTTATGTAGATTAATCATTGACTCATCATTACAGTAGAGTGGTTTTCATAACCCCTACTTTTCCGAGAAACTTTGTCACCGGTGAAGCGTAAAGACTATAAACTAGTGGCGCGGAGGGTCATGGGAAATGTGTTCAAGTAAACCATGCTTGACGCGGGAGTTTGCTTGACGCGGGATTTTTAAAAGAGCCATTATGGCCGATGCAGTACGCATTAACGTAATAATTAAAGTGTATAAGCACGAGAACAAAAATCAATGTTCCATGTTCTCTTTAAAAGAAGTACCAATATTCAAAAATGTCCAAGAGTATAAAAGCTATTTAGTGAAAAAACAAGCTGAAGAAATAAGCCCAGCAAAGGACATCAACAGTTTTGACCTTGGTTATTATGGCACGAGAGGAAGAAAACTGACCATTTGTACAGAGGAACACCTAACAAAGGCCTATTTAACTGAAAGCCTAAACTATGTCACATTTTGGTTGAAGCCACATACGCATTTCCAAAAAACAAGTTTGCCAAAGAAACGAGAGACTGTGGACGAGGACGAAGTCATGTGTCTTGATTTCAAGGCGTCAAAAAACAAGAAGAAGAGTAAGTTACTGAGCACTAAAACGTGATACAATTCAAAATGGAGAAATACCTTTATGCTAGCTGTCTGTCTGTATTTTTTCTTTTGTAAAGCTTAAAATTGGACTGTGATAATTTTGTTAGTAAGGTTTTAAATTTTAGAATCGTTTGTGCATGGCGCACGTGAATATTTGAAGGGAACCCGATAAAAACGCGGAATAAATTATAAAATGCCACTTCGTTTCTAACAAGTTCGTTATGATCTGACCTATGTTACGGGTTTTAACAAAATGTTTCATTGCTATGTTTACAGTTAATAATAATAATAAGTATATGTAATAGTAATAATAATAATAATGATAATGATAATAGGATCATGTC